CCAAGACCAAATCCAGAAACTTGATGATTTTCCTCTCTGGAAGCTCATGCGTGAAAGTGAGCCCCATACATGAGTGCTGAAAACTCCTCAGGATGTTGTTGAGGCACCCGTCGATATGATCGTCAACTTCTGTAGTGCATAAAATGAGGAAATCATCGACATACCTAAATATCGCTGCGATTCTTGGATCTTTAATACTTTCTTGGATGGCACGCCCGCACGCTCCGAGAAAAACTTCACGCAGATGTGGGGCCACTTTGGATCCTATGCATACGCCGCTTTTCTGCGCGTAGTGGCGATCTTGGTAGGCTACCACCGTGGCTGATAGGTAATAGCCCAAACGTTCTAAGAAGGTATCTACTTGCATCCCTGCCGCATTCTGGAATGACGTGAGGCCTTGATCTTCTATGTTTGACCGAAGAACTTGTAGTAGACGTGCATGCGGGATGGAGTAGTACATATCTTGAACGTCCACGGAAAACGCAGAAACGATGATGTTCCCTTTTTCTTTAAGAAAAGAAATCACATTTTCAGAATTGGAAATCCGGAAAGGGTCTTGCATCAAAACAAGGTTGATCTTTTCGGTGAGAAATTTGGACACGCAAGCTTGCCACGTGTTCCTCTCCGAAATAATTGCCCGGAACGGACTTCCCTCTTTGTGCGTTTTGACGGAGAAGAACACCGTTAACTGGTCAATCTTGGCTGCCTTGATCTTGGAGCACAAACCCCCTTGATGATTTTTCTCTAGTATCGTGAGAATGGCTCTTTTTGTTACTTTAGTTCTATTGACATCCACTGGAACGAAATTCTTGTCCATGGCTTGAAGAGCTTTCTCTCCAAAAGCCCCTGAGTCAAGAACCACAAATCCTCCTTCCTTATCGGAAAGGCAAAGTTTAAGATCTTTGCCTCTCAGTTCTTGTACGGTCGGTCCGAAGCTCAGACGTGGGAGGGCTTGATGCTTAAGCTTTGCAAAAACCTGAATTCCTTCATCAATGACCTGCGGGCTCCTTTCATGTGCTGCTTTGGCAGCTATGTTCCTTACAAGCGCTACTTGGTCAACGGCTTCAAGCTTAGGCGCAATGGCATATTTTGGTCCGTGCCCCAAAACGTGTTTAGCCCGCGCAGTTAGATCAAAATCCCCAATTAAATGGGGTGGAGACAATTTTGGATTCGCTTGGTTTTGGCGATGTAAGGACAGATGACGACGCCATATCGGAAGAAAGCGTGAAACCCAAAGGAAGTTTGTAGTATCGTTGGTCGTCCTCAGGTAAAAGGAAAAGGCAGAGTGATTTGGGCATTTGACACGTAAAACGTCAGTAAGAAGACGCACCTGCCGCCATTTTTCAGACCTGAGTATCTTCGAAACCCGCTGGGCGTGTCCCTGCGATGGCTGAACCGCTCCGAAGAAAGCCTGCACATCATCCAGTATGATTTTCTTTTGTATGCAGGGTGTGAGCAATCTGGCTTGGCAGATGTTGGTTGCAATGAGGAGGCTTAGTCCCGCCGAATCGATGAGGTGAAAATTGGACATGAAAGAGCTCAGGTAACTAGAAAGGAAACTAACCACCGGAAAGAGTTGAGCACGTTGGTTACACATACTTAATAGACACCAGCTGAACAACAACAGACGAGGAGGATGCCTTAGTTTAATAATGAGGAAAAAGAGGAAGAAGTGAAGCTAGCTAGGTATGATTGATCCTAGCCTGTCGATGAAGATGAAGTGTTTCATTAAATTTCAGTTGGTAGTCCAGCGGTTGAATGCGTCTCTCTCGTCCTTCTTACATTTGTGTGCTTGGGTTGTTCAGCTGGTGTCTATTAAATATGTGTAACCAACGTGCTCAACTCTTTCCGGTGGTTAGTTTCCTCTCGTTTCATACAAAAGACGTAGCGTCCTCGTTAAGCCTTATCGAGCTCGATTTGCTCGATTCGGGGCCACCATAATGAGATGCAGGCGACAGAGGAACTTTGCTCTCCTGCTTCAGGGACGAATGTTTCTCCCTTTCTAAATCAAATCAAATCAAATCAAATCAAATCAGCTTTTATTTTCCATCACATGATGGGGGGTACCAAGGGAAAAAGCTGCTTATATGCAGCTTGACGAGCCCCTGGCACCCCTACATGGCAGACAACGCAACAAGAGACCATTTAATAAACAAATAAATCTAGAAAAAGAATACAATGTGCATTGTTATACAATGTTAATAAATCATAGAATGTGCATTTTTTTATACAATGTTAACGATGCTATTTTTAGGTTACAAGAACCGTTCATCCCTATAGGGAAGACTATCGATACCCTTTTTTTTTTTTAAGAGTGTAGGGCGAGACTGACTCGGCCAGGTAACGTTGTCTGCTTGTACACTCGGTATCTTGAACGTTTTGTCTAGAATGTTTGACTGTCGAATACTCTGGGTAGAAGTAAATACGACTCTTCTATACTCCGTTGTAATTCAAATAGGTAGAGCGAGGGTAAGACGGGCCGGGGGGGGGGGGGGGGGGAAGCAGACGGAACGCTAAAGAAAGGAGGTTTCCCCGTCGCTTCTCCAGCGTTCCGCCTGGTTCCTCCTCTGCGGCCTGTCTTAACCGCGCCCTATCTTCTTTAGTTGCAAAGGACTATATATCACAGAGGAGCGTTTATGTTCATAATGAACATGGGAATATTAAAAGAAAAAGTACAGTTGTTGATTTCGCTTTATCTTCTACATTTAAGGTACAAATTTTAGAGTTAACATGTTTTATGTTATGTTAGCAGTGCTTTGTTGAGAATGTTGGTTTTATCTTCTGCGATATACGAATATCTATAAGGATACACCTTACAGATTCTAACAAGCTAGCTGAAATACGCCGCCCCATATCTAAATTTCACTCCAAGTTTCTCGCGCTATGTAGTATTTCTTTTTTATAGATTGGCTCTAAAGGTAAATAAATAAAATTGAATGTATGGCGCTTCTGTAAACAGCAGCCTGAAATTAAATTGTGTCTTTATGGGCATTTATTTATTTAGGAAATAATTATCGCGGTGCTATTGTTCAACACATTCTAGAGTAGTGAGCATAAGAAAGGTGACATGTCGCAGTTCTTTATAGACCGACACGCCGGCTTGATGTCACGGAGCTACGGCGGCACTGCGATCGCGCCGGAGCGGGGTGGTGTGGGCAGAAGGTCGCACGTTACGCGTGGGCGTCAAAGCATTTCCCCAAGCCGCAAAGCTGCGTAGAAGTTAATTGCACCGAAAGGTACAGCAAACGTAGCGGAGTGAGTTTCCACATGTTCCCGTCAAACTCTGAAAGGCGCAGAAGGTGGATAGTGTATACGTGGATAGAAAACACTGGTTGCCTCGCGCGGACGACTGCGTGAGCGGCAAGTACTTTATTGGAGACAAGTATGGCTTCCATTTCAATCTGTGTCCCTGAGACTTCCTTATGGGCAGGGAAACCGTCGTCTGATCGAGACCACCCAGATTTTGTTCCCACGGTGCTCGCGCACAAAGCATCGGCAAAGCGCTCGTCGGTGGCTCGCTACACCCGTGCTACCAAGCGGAAGGTGATCGCCAGCAAAACAGACAAAGCATTACCGTTTGTCGTGCCTCTGATCATGAGGGTACAAAAAGTCTCGAGGTATACCTAAACACTTCTTATGGGTTGTGAATGCGAAAGCATGCATGCCGTTCGTCCGCTCCCCTATTTTGGGCTGAGGTGTACTTGCGTCGACAGTCGAGCGCGCAAGCTCTCCTCGCCACGCTGACCTTGGGCGTGGAGTGGTGGAGCCGCTGCCTCGCGGTCACGCAGCGCCCTGGGGTGGCGCTAATTGACACTGACGTGCGGCGCCTCATATCACTGCCGATTTGCGTTGTTTTCTGTGTGGTTTCAAAGCTGGGATGGTTGAGATCGCGGCTTTCGGAATTTATCTGCCGTTTGGCGCGGCTGATGACGTCGGCTCGCTCAATAGGACAGTTTGACGCTTTCGCATTAAGATATCATTGAAGGACACTGTCTGTATTTAATTAATTAATAAATACACTTTGCCGACCCACAGTCTGCTGATCCCTTCGGCCGAGCGGAAATCGTCTCGAAGTAATCGTAGACCTCGAGAAACTCATTCGCCGGCACCATGTCGGCCGTGAACTGGCTCAGCGAAATTTCTAAACAAACGACGACGTGAGCAATCAACGTTGGTGGCAGCAAGTTTATGTCGGAACTCCAGCAAGCCTTGTTTACGGCGCACAGATCGTCGAAGGCAACGCCTTTCAGTCACAGTTTGCTTATATACCACTGCTGTTCAGGCTCGGGTAGCGAGCTGAAAAAGACCGACTTAACATGCGACATACGTTGGAAGGAAATACGACGCACAAATAAAGCTAAAAGAGTCTACAACGTCATCAACCAGCGCACGCCACACAACGCATTGGCGAAATCACGGAAAGCCTGGCCGCCTCTGTCCATATAGCTTCTGCGCATGCCCGGCCTTCCGGCCGTGTCGGTAAGCAGAGCCACGCCGCGTGTCGGTCTATGTGTCGGTATATCATATGTTAACGATATACTAAATACGACATAACACTCGTGACAACATTTGTGTTGATTTACCCGTGGCTTTTTAATTGTCTTTTTCTGGCTACTGGAAGGCAACTGAAACCTGGCTTATTGCTTATTCTCTAACATTATTTGTAATAGTAATAAAAATCTGCATTTTTTTCAGCGTCTTATACGCAAATATTTATAATATATTGATATAATATTTTAGATTCATATCTGCAACCTGATTTGTAATAGTAATATAAATGTATATTTTGTTTCATCTTTTTAGACGGATCTATTTATTATGAGACTATATGTGTGTGTTCTCATAACTTGCTAAAAGATATGCTTGGTCTAGTTGGTTCTCGTATCATATTATGTCAATAAATTGACAACTGAAAATGAAACTACACCACTTCACGTGAAAGATATATGTACCAGACACAAAACTCCTTCCAGTTCAAGTACTTTATCTCTGTCTTTCAGTAGTAACTTCAAATGCTTGGTCTTGGCCTGGAATGTCAAAAGAGTTTTGCCTAAGCGTTCCGAATAGAACACTTTCGAAGTGCGATCCACCCCGCAACCTCGTCCGATACCATTATGACAAAGATACGAAGAAGTGTAAAGAATTCAGCATTACCAACTGCTATGAAAGCGGCGACAAGTTCTTTCCTTCCATGGGAGACTGCATCGAATATTGCCGGCCAAGTAAGTATATTTATTTAATGTTCGACGGAATAAAAATAACGAAATATCTCACTTGCTGGAATCACTCATTGCTGATCGTTATAAAAAACGCGGCTATCGCCGTTGGGGAGTTAAAAAGTCTTACAATCACATCTCTCTACACCATTTTTATCAAGTCTCACACGTGGGCTAAAAGCGGCTTAACTGAAGATAAAGAAAGTCGGCTTTCATCTAACTTACAAATTATGTCCATGCATATGGAGAGTCTTGGGTTGTTTCAGACCGGACTTAGAAGTTAAATATGGATATAGTAACCCTGGAGCTAGGACCCAAAAAGTGACGAACAGACACGAAACTCCGACGTCGGCGTTTAAAGGAAGTTTCGTGACTGTCCGTCCCTTTTTGTCCCTTAGCTCCAGAATTACTATGTCTATCTTTAACCAGCTCGCCTGCCTACTTGCGTTAACTCAGAAATTAAAGTGGTATGGAGCGGTTGCTAAGAACACGAACTTTTATTTAGTTAACTGATTGTAACATGGCAAACTTTAGAATAACAATGAAGACGCGATGTCGGCGTCTGTCCCGACTGCTGTTTCCAAGTCATCTCCTGTGTCGTCTCCAGCCGTATTCTTTAATACCCTCGTGCGAAGGGTTCGCTACGCAATACGGCAGCTGGACGACAAAGCAGTGCCTGCTGTGCAATGCTGAGATTGCCAGGATATTATCCAACGTTATGTAATGGATATTGCGGGGAACTGATGCAAGCGTGCGGCAACATCCGCCAGCGACACAGCACCTGAGTCGGGTAAGGTAATCCGAAGCTCTCATGGGCCGTTCGAGTCGAGCGTAGAAAAGTTCTCTCGGAAGCGGCTGTGTCGGTACGTGAACACACATATACCTTACGTATGTGCCTGTGTAATTTTTATTGTTTTAGCTTGCTAAATTTTAATAACCGACAACGATCAATTCCAATTTCTTGTTCAATTAGATATCATAAACCTACGCTTTTTTTTACTTTTGTTTGTTTTTATGCATTTAATGAGAACACTTTTGAAAGTCATCTTGCAATTTTGTTTTCCTACTTTTTCTTGCTTGAAAAAGTAGCGAGTATTTAAGACATAATAAACATATCATGAAATATTAGTGGGTAATGTTATTTCATGAAGCTATAACCGCAGGAACGAAAGTTAATGGCGTACATTTTTCTTAAACTGGATCAGCAATAACACTCCTCCCATTATGCCGGGAAAATTTATTTAAAAAAAAGCATTTCTCGTTTGTTACATAAATTAATAATGGAAATATCACCCCTTTTCACAGATCAAACACGAGGTAGATGCTGGCAAGAATATAACCCCGGATCGGGGCGTGAAAATCTGACTCGATGGTACTATAATAATGCGACAAACCAATGTGCACAATTTGTTTATAAAGGAAATAATGGAAACGGAAATAATTTTCAATACAGAGACCAGTGCATTGACTATTGCAGGTAAGAATGTATGTTACTTCAATTGTGAAGTTATCAGGACCAAAATATAGTACCTTGATAGAATGAATGGATTCAGTGACACAAACAAATGCTATGCATACAAATCAGACACCAAAGGGTGGGTGGTGTCGGTTTTGACAGGTCATTATTACGGCAAACTGTCTGTTCGAAGCAGCTGCTTAAAATAATCAGATTAGAGTTTAACATTTTATTGCATACAAAAAATCGAAGGTTCGATCTGGTCGGTTCATACACTCACAAAGAAATAATGCAGAGCATGATGCCACAGTTCGGAGGTCTGAAACTCATGTAATTGTGGCGGTCAGATAGCCCACCCCTGAAATGTCAACCCTTAGCGAAAAGTCGTTCAAAATCAGTACACTCGAAGTGTACTGAAGTATACTAAAAGTATACTTTCAGTGCGGTCGTTGTACTGATTGTATACTTTAAGTGTACTTAAAGTATACTTCCAGTAAAAATGGCGGAGGACTGAAAGTATACTCGTCCGTACAAAACTAGTACATGTAGCAGAATCGTAGTGCCCACGGTAAAAAGTAGTTCAAAATTAGTATACAAGGAGTGCACTCAAGTGTACTAAAGGCTTACTTTCAGTGCTTGCAGTCGGCGTACTCAAATTATAGTAATGGGTATGTATATATATATATATATAGTGCGATTGTTAACATCAACACACTAAAAACGCGATAGGCCAATGCCGTTTTCACAGGATATTTGTGGGGCTCGGTGGACATTAGATGAGTAAATAAACGTCACAGTACGTTGTCTAATTAGCTTTTTTTAATTGACAGTGTAACTGACCATGTTGAATTTTCAATTTTAAAGGGGCTATAAATAAACTCTAGCCCAACTGAAACAATTTGCGAAAAGGTGACGAGTTTTGGGTTATTCATAGCTATGAATAACTCAAAATAATTCGATGTTTTTGTAATGCAGGTCTCAGCGTAACTATACGCTGTTTCAGATATCTGCATCCACAGCAATCAAAAAGACAGGAGGCAAAAGAAACCACGGCTAATAATGGGGACATAAGATCCTCCACCTTGCCTGGTCGCATGCAGCGCAAATCAACTTCCGAACCGCGTAAGCGAAGTGATGTTATGAATGGAAGCTCGCTCTGAAATTGGCTGGAGAAATCGGCGCCTTTATGCAACAACCTCAAGCTTTCACCGAAAGTGTTTCATGGTGTAGATTTATCTTTCAAAACTCTAAGGACGTCTCAATTCACGTGAAAAGCGATTGACAATTGCAACAACGAACAACACCGTCGATCGAGATTTCCACACTAAAAAATCGACGTAAATTTAACGTGCCTTTCCCTCGTCAAAAAAGACGGGCACGCTCATTGTTTCGAAACACGAGGTTACCCTCATTATTTATGTGCCGCGAGAGCCGATCCTTCCAGAAAAGCCGAAATACCAGCGGTGCAAGCATGCGCTGATGAATCAAAATAGCCTTGGCGACAAGGGAGAAATGGCTTGAGATAGTTTCGGTTTTACACTGAAAAATAAAACCGAAAGTTTAGATAAAACCTAAGATGGACTAAACGGTTTGTTAATTTTTTACGAATATAATAAAGTAACATTATTATTATTAATATATTGATTTGCATAGTTTTGTCTTAAAAAAAAGAAAAAAAGAACAAAAAGAAGACACTTTTGAAAACTGCGCAAGACCATTGCTATTGCAATCAGCTTCCGTTCGACCGCCGTTGGAATTCCGGAGAGTTCGAGCATCGCTTCCTTTTTACGTTTTAGCCGTTTTTGCGGATATTTTGGATACCTTACTGACGAATACCGTGTTCAATAATAGCAAGCGATTACTGAGAGCTGTGAGACAGAGCGTCGCAAGTGGCGGATAGTCATGGCCGACTGGTGCAAGCGAAGGTGAGGAAGTTCCTTTTGTTTCTGCGAAGCGGTTTCAAACTTTGTCTTGTACCGTGTGCTTGCTAAGCTATGCTGGACTCTCACTATGCTCTACCCGGTTTTATTTCGTTATTTGAAAAGAGCGTATCTTCAAAATTTATGGCTCTCTCTGCAGAGTGAGAAAGATTCGCGTGCGGCGGAACCGAGGGCCAGCCGAGGGCCTGTCCTGGGCGCCGTCCCTACGACGGTCGCCCGACGAGGCTTTTGCGGAGCGTTCAAGTACAGTCTGACGGCAGTTCACGCAATCACAGGTCATGCTAGTTCTGAGGTGTGGTTCCAACAGTCTCTCGTCAACGATTTGTTTCATAAAGCGTTAGCGTGAAAAACGTTACAAGAGCGAGCAGCATGATTTCTTGCCCGTGCTGATGCCTGTGCCGTAGAGACGGACGATCTCTGCGTATGCCGAAGCCGCACGCTTTCCAAGTTTGCGATTTTGTGTTGTGAATAAAGTGAGTTTCTATGTCACGTATTTTAGTGGCGGCGAAAGCCGCTACAAAAGGCAGAGCAGTTAGAAAAAGCAAAAGCATGAAAAAAATGTTAAAAGGACCTGAATATTCGATGGAGTTGAAAGACCACCAACGTACCAACTCGCCCAGTTATTCTTTGTCAAAGAATAATAACCAATACTAATAAATTAAATAAATGCCAACTTTTAATTGGTTAGAAATTTATAACTGATGCAGTACAGCCCTACCCTGCTCTAGTGCTTTTATGATATCAGATAATGTGTAAATATATAGGATAGTTCATAGCAACCATTTATGCCCGACCCATTATATTGAATATTTTCTCTAAAAGCTCGAAGTTATATAAAAAAGTGCTTATCATAAATTAAGCCGCACCACTGATTGTGTAATAGCGTATGACTTGTATGTGTGTTCACAGCAAAAGAAAAGGAGGCATTAAGAAAATGCCAATCGTTTTGTTTGCTCTGTGTTAGAGCTTCTTTCAGGTATCAGGTTTTCAGAAACGATATTGCCCGATTTTCCTGGCCCTTTTGTCAGGATGAAGTTGTTACTATCTTGCCTTCCTCACATAGTGGTCCTTTGAGCGAATTATGTGATGTTATATCATAGAGTGGCCATAGGCTAATTTTCTCTTCTCCTTTTACGCAGGATGTAATGGCATACCATCATCACAAAGGAGAGTGTACAGTGAGGCAGGCTCGGAAACTTGAATAAAGTGATAAGTAGGATTTCAATTTCTGTCTTATCAATTACATGAAGAACACTGAGCATAATGTTTGTATGCTACACATACATACTTTCAGTTGAAAAATGCAGTGCACCTCTTCTTTATGGCTTTTCTCACACAGTTTCATAAGACGCCGGTACGTCATTCTCACGAGGAATAGAGCTGCCAAAGATTTCCTCGTTAATTTCTTGACTCACTTTTAAGAGTGCATCTCCCGGTGGTGGCGCCTCTGCATTATCATGATCAATTGAGTTGTTAACGGCGTTTCTTAACATTTCACGAGAATGGAGCTGTATAAGATGAAATTTCACAGGTTGGAATACAGCCGTTCAAAGAAACACCTTTGAAAAGTCAGCTTTTTAAATGCAGGCGGCGATTTTTCTGGTCAATTTGAGACCGTGCTTTCCATTCAAAATGCCCGACATACACGGCGTCCCAGATAACTTGCACCATACATAAGAAACACCGGAGGGCTCTGCAGGAGTGAAATCAACTGTCGTTAGCAAGTGTCTTGAGAAAGTGCACAAATTTTTTTAATGCGCCTGGTTATGTAAATAACTAAGATTATTGAGCTAACCTTTCGAATATTCTTTTAAGGACCAAGATGTTAATTGTAAAGTTGCCGGGTGCATTGAGAAGCACCCATTTAAAGTGTTTGAAACATAATACGTTTTCGTGCTTTTTTCCGGCCTTCAAAGCACGCACATTCGCGGCGCGCTCGCACGCCGTGATTGGGGAAGCGAGTTGTCACGCGGTATTTTTTTGTATTTCGCGGGCGTTTTTTTGAAGGCTAGGAAAAAGGAGCATGCAAAGCGCACCTTGTTGAAAATGGTTTAATTGGGTGTTAATGCGCTCTACAACTTTCCATTTCACACCTCGGCTTTTAAACGAAGATTTAAAAAGTTAGCTTGTTACTCTTAATTAAGTAAATAGGCGCACTAAAACAATTTCGCGCACTTTCGCAAGAGACTTTCTAATAGCGTACACACTAAACATCGTAACACCCTTGTGGGTGTAAATGGCTTGTCCTATAACTAACACCCATTTGGGTGTAGCAAAACGCCCTAAACAAAGGGCGTTATTCCTAACGCCCCTAACATAGGGCGTTTTTCCCTAACACCCTTAAAGGACGACGTTATTCCGAACACCTTTCAATTAGGGTGTGATTCCTCTGTACACCTTTTTATTAGGGCGTTATGTCTGCGCAGTACGCCTTCTAAATTGTGTGTATCACCGCCAGAAAGGGAAATAAAAAAAGGCACGATTACCAACACCCATAAAGTAATGCGTAATAACCCAAAAGAGTGCACGAGAAAATGACTGCAAATGCCTCGTTCACTTTTTATTTTTTAATCAAGGTTCTCACAGGTTCTACAAAATTCTCTATAGACGATTGCAAGCAGGTCATCTGGCCGCAGCCATGTCTCTGCTTATGCGGGCAAGTGCGTGCAATTACAAGCGTGCCAAAGGTCAAAGCTACGTTCACGCGCACGTCATCAAACTTGGCGAAAGCAAGACTGAAAGAAATAGTTCTCTTTTACCCTCGCAATTCCACCACGACCGAGACGCTTCTAAACCAGTGGCGGTCCGTGCGTGTAAGGTCAGAAATATTTCAACCGGATATTGTTTCATAACCCCTTCAAATTGTACAACCGAAGGCCCTAGTTGAATCTCAAACTGTACTTTTCTTGTGACGTTTATGCTTTCTTGCACTGGTGACGTGGACAAAACTGACAAGCTTGCAAAGACGGTACGACCAGGAGTTGCTTGGGACGCAAGCGGCAGTTCATGTTTGTAAACCGTAAAATGGTCTATTGAAACGGAAGCAGGGAGGCTATGTCCGACAAATGTTTCGTTACTCCT